ACTCCTTTTGTGAATGGTCCTGCTCAACGACGCTCATACCTTCTCTTTGTCCCTCTCCACCTTCCACCCTGACAATGGCTTTCTGAAATCCCCTGGGTGAGATCAAATGAGCTGGAGAAACTTAGAGGAATGCTTCATGCTGTGCTAGTGAGTCCCTGAATACTGTTCCAGCACTCCTAGAACCGCGTCGGGGAAACCTTGGGAGGGGCCCCGTCACTCTTTGCATGTGGATCAAGAGCAGAGAAAGAAAGGGGCCTAAATTTTATTGTGTTCCTAATACTGTTACCACATTTAGATCCCCCAGCAAGCCTGTCAGGCTTTTACCGCTGAAGATGTTATCTAGTCACAAAGTGAAGTAACTTACCAAAGCTCACACTGCTTTAAAAAAATTATAGAAATTTTGCGTACGAAAGTAAATATATATGAGTAGAAATGTATTTCTTCCTCTCCCTATCCAATTAATTAATCATCAAATTCCATAAATTCTAGTCCCAAATCTCTATCCTCATTTCCAACTCCTATGTGATTTTTATCTTAGTGTTATGTACCAAATGTTTGTATCCTCCCAAAATTCACATATTAAAGCCCTGACCCTCAGTGTGGCTATATTTGGAGATAGGTACTCTAAGGAAGTAATTAAGGTTAATTGAGGTCATGAAATTAGGGCCCTGATCTAATAGGATTAGTGTCCTTATAAGAAGAGCTCCCTCACTCTCTCCATGTGTACACACCAAGGAAAGGCCACATGAGCACACAGCAAGAAGGCAGCTGTCCTCTTGCCAGACATCAGCCCTGCTGGCACCGTGGTGTTGGCCTTCCAGTCTCCAGAACTGTGAGAAAACAAATTTCTGTTGTTTAAGCCATCTAGTCTGTGTTGTTTTGTTATGGCAGCCCAATGAAGCTAATAGACTTAGCTCAACCCCTTATAACTTACCCGAACTACTAGCTTCTTTGCTTCCCTCCCATCTACCCTCCAAACTGAAACCAGAGATTTTTCTAAAATGCAAATCTAACCTTGTTAAAACCCATCTATGGCTTTCCAATGCCTATGGTAATTGTCTCCAAATTTATACCCCTATTAAGTAAGAAAAATGTAGGCATAGCACCCACAATATTTGTATACTTACTTAAATTACATATATATATACTTCTACTGTACACAAAAGATGTTAAAATACATACAATGACATAAATACTATTTAAATGTTTAAATTTTAGTGTATACATGAACAGTTCAGAAAGCTTTTTTACAGAAAAGCACATATGCATACACACACCAAGAAAACACTTTCCTCATTTCTCTTTTAGCAAAAGCAATGTGATTGACTATGTCAAATCTAATTAGATCATCACTGATTTTACCTCAAAACATGGCTGACAATGAACTTGTGCTAAGAGTCAGAGAAATATCACTTCAGCCATTTTCTGTGCTCATGTGGGCTCACTATAATTAGTGCAGTCTTCAGCCAGAGGTTTCTTTGCAGGACTGTTTTAAGCCACATATCCATTGTGGGTTCATTTAGTTAAAATTAGGTAGTATAATCAATAAACCCACTTAACAAGCACAGGAAAATGGCAAAAACTCACGATGGACTAAAAATTAATGAAGAGTGAGGAAGCCACCACTGCCAACTCCTTAGAAGGGCAGAATGACTATTGCTACCTAAAGATTTTTTGAATGTAGAATATGTGACCATCTAAAGTGGAGATCAAATGAAGACATTTTGTCAATATATATAGAAAATGTTAGTCTACATTTACTTTCTCTTCACAGACAAAAGTAAACTCTAACAGTTTCTTCAGCTCCCTAAGGAGTCATCAAGCATTTACCCTCTGACCCATGGCAAGAACCGTGTTTGTTGTGCCATCTGATAGCCTCTCCAGAAAAGTTAACTTGGCACCCCATCCCTGCTCTTTCAGAGCCTTGCTGTAGTTAAACTGTCTTGCTCACCATGCCCCAAATATCCTGTTCTCACACACCCCACCCTGCTGTGTGTTGGCTGCAAAGAAAATGTCAGATAACATAAGCAGAAGCACTTGGCACATAATAGGTACTTAATAAATGCTTATTGATTCTCACCATGAGGTAAATTAGATCTGTGGTTCCTCAATTTTAGCCTGCCTCAAAAACCACCTGGAAGGCTTGTTATAACACAGAGTAGAAGTCCAGTGCACGAATTTCGTGCACTGGAGAGAGGGTCCCTCAGCCCAGCCTGCACCCTGTCACAGTCTGGGACCCCTCGGAGGATGTCCACCTAAGCCAGCAGTTGGACATCCCTCTCGCAGTCCGGGACCCCTTGCTTCTTACTGCCCGCCTGCTCACTGCTCCTTAGCCCTGCTGTGGAGGCAGGAGAGGCTCCCAACACCGCAGCTGTGCTTGCCAGCCTTGAATCCGGCTTCTGGCTGAGCAGCGCTCCCCCTGTGGGAGCGCACTGACCACCAGGGGGCAGCTCCTGCATTGAGTGTCTGTCCCCTGGTGGTCAGTGTGCACCATAGCTACCAGTCGTTCTGGCCATTCCGCTATAATGGTCACTTAGGCTTTTATTATATAGATTATTGGGCCATACCCCAGAGTTTCAGATTCAGTGGATCGAAAGGGGCCTGAGAATTTGCATTTCTAACAAATTCCCAGATGATGCTGACGCTGTTGATCCGCAGACCCCACTTCTAAAACCAATTAACTAAATGGTCTGTAGAGCTTCTGACATTTCCAATGATTTATGATTCTCCAACGCTTTTAATAGAGACAAAATGAACAAAATAAACTTCTATCTAAAATATAGGTTCTATAAGGTCTAATGTGCTTCTCAACTGTATAGAGAAAAGAGGACATAATTTAGATTCAGAAGATCTAAGCTGGAATCTCACTTTATAGCTGTGTGGTCAACCTAAAGCAAGCTAATATTCTCTGAAACTGAATATTTTTCCTTCTATAAAATAGGAGTATATTAAAATAATACCTGCCTCTTGGGGTTAATTATAAGGTAATATTAATATATTGAAATAATTTATAAAAAGAAAAGTACTGTATATGGACTATACCAATAAGATATATGTACTATGTATTAATGTACATTTAACAAGTTGAATAATAAATAATACATTTTGAATACTTAAAATCACAAATGCTCAAAATTTCTAATCTCAATGCTAATTTGTTCTTGAAAAGTATATGATCGGAGAAACTAAGATGGCGGCAGAGATAAACACCGGGAAATTAACGCCGCACACAACAATTGATTAATACCTCAGAGAAACAATACGGACTTCACCCAGAACCACAGGAAGCCTGGCTGACTGTAAACTCTACAACTAGAAGGAAGGAAAGGCACACTGAGACCCACAGAAGCTGCAGGAGAGAAGCACAGAGGTACGGGGCTCACCCGGGGCTCGCGCGCGCGGAAAGGGACTGGGAC